AGTTTAATAAACACAGCTATACACAAATTAAATCCACACGCTTAAGTCTAAAAGCTATAGAGTCGACAAACATATTACAAAGAAATGCAATCAAGTAAGCAGAGCTTCTCATACACCCATTGTAAGATTTTCTTTCATGTGTACGCTTGCATGTTTATACTATCAATTGCTCCACTCAAATTAGTCTGTTACTTGGAGAAAAAACATTACTCATATAGCATTATGCGTGGTAAGACCCTTTTTCCATTCAATTTTCATTTCTATGAGAGAGAATTTTTTAAGAAATGCATCCAGTGCAGTTTTTAGGTTTTAGAAACCCGATTTTTCAACGTCAATATTCTAGTTATTCATCTACATACTGAGTTGAAACCGCACTATCCCAATGTATATTGACCCTCATGGAGCAAACATTCCCAAAATTCTGTCAGAAAAATGGTTACTGGAAGGCCTTGAGGGCCCTGGGCTAATTTTTAGGGTACCACCCAGAAAATAAAGGACTCATCTTGGGGCCTGTGTCTGCAGTTTAGAAGCCCAAAGTATGAAATACTGATTGGAGTGTGCTAATGTGAAGCAGTATGTGTCAATATCACAAAGATTGCCTTATTCAGAATATTTCCAGTTTTGCTGCTCTGAAATCGCATTGGATGTCAGACACATCTTTCAGGTTGATCATAGATGCCACCAAAACTGATGATATAGTAACATCATCGTCATTGATACTCAGGCACTATCGCTGAACAGAAAGCATTCTTACATGTAGACCTTCTGTGAAATTTGTAAACACTGGTCATTATACGGAGTACTGACCTTTTCATATTTGTCGAACTTGGCATTGACAGCCGTCGCCAGAACAAGATTCAGAGTGACCAAGATTACCACTACTGCCAGCGTAGTGACCATACAGAAGAGGTGGGTGCGGAGAAAGTCCCAGAAAACATGGCGGCGGCTTTGGCCAATCGCGTCGTCTGTCGAAAAAAAGACATTATGGTTGCTGGTTGTCATACGGTTTGGCTAAAATTCCACATTGACATGAAAACTATAGAATATTTCTGACAAAGACAACTTGAGACATAAAAGCTTACATAGATGAAATCATAACAGTAAAGAATGGTGTGGGGGGGGCTCCATTCGTTTATTTCAATACAATATACAGGTATACAATGTAGTTCAAGGAAGTGCTAGATATGTCTGTCACAATTCATATTTAAGTCTGTTAACATGATGTGTTGAGTACAATATAGTGGAAAATACACAGAATTGATTTCTCACTTCAACGTATTTACGTTTGTATACCCTAAAAAGAAAAATGATCCGAAAAATATTTTTCTAAAAGGTAAAATATTATTTCACGAAAAGGTAAAGCAGAGAAGTGCTGTATTTAACGCTCCTTATTCTAAAAACTGCTAAGTTTTTGAATGCGACGGGTAGCTAGCGTTCTGCGCAGGCTATCTAGCTGCAATTGTTTCTGTGATATAGCATGCACCCCTCTCCCCATATACAGCACCCCTCCCTCGAAAGAAGCCACCACGCTCGTAGAAGAAACAGACGCTGGCCGCTAGAAAGTCTCCTCAAGATCATGAGGCTAATACTGAGGTCACATTTGCAAACCGGGGCCCGGCCGGGCAGTCTTATGGAACGAAAAGGATGATATAAAAGACAAGGAAACACAGAAAGGTTTTCGATTATAACCATGGGCACTATTTCTGTATATTCTTGATATGAACTGTTTATTTTCATAGAATCATACAAACAACCCGGCCGGGCCCCGGTTTGGAAATGTGACCTAAGCTTAAGGTAGCTTACCTGTGGACGTGTCAGTTGATTTAGGTATGTTGACATGGCGCTTTTCGCCTTCCGGGAGATGCTCAGGATTCACCGCTTCTGCATCTTCGTACCCTTCTTTCCTGTTGTCAGAAGAACCGTTGCCACGGTCGACACCTCCGCGTGTGCTCCTTGAACGAACGGGAGGGACAGGGGCCGGCGACCCGCCGGTTTGGGGGCGGTTGCCGGGTCCCCCGGGAGCTCGAGGGGCCCGAACTGGCTGTGGTTGATCGCCCATCTGTACTGTACTAGCACACCAGGAGTGCGCCTTCTGTAGCAGTGTAAGCTGTATGAATATGGCAATATTTTGAGTCACATTTCGTTTCTTCTACAAGAGCGTAATCTGTGACGGTATAATACAGTCTTGGATTGGTTTCAAGAAAAGACACAGTTTGAAGTCTCGATACGATCGAAGACTTTTAATTTGTATCAAAGCTCCTTTATACATGTATAATTCTTGTCCTGGTTTGAACTCTTTTTAACGGACCGCATTGACGCGGAACGTTCTTGTTTTTGGATCGAAGAGCACGTGCACTTTACATCTTGTGTAAAATGTTTAGAAACTGCAAGCGATTGAGTAGCAGGTTCTAAGTAATTAGTCTACACCCTGTTTACCAAAACAACTCTTTTTTACTCATTTATTTCTATGTGAAAGTATATCACAAGATTGCAAGAGCAACACGAAAACTCAACTAGTTATCCTTCTTAATTTTATATCTGAACAAAGAGGTTTATCTCCATAACACACACGTACGAAGAATTAAAAAGTGGTAAATTAATGTAGGATGTTAAATAGGTGTCTAGATCCAAATATATATAGCAAGCTCTTCTTCGCCCGTTTAGAGTATCTTAGATTACAACTTGTTTGTTTTCCGTTTAAAGATCTTTGATAAATATATCTGTACCATATCCTCACCTAATATTTTATACAGTTCTTTTGTTTACGTCTAGCGAGTCATCAAAGGGTTCTTACTTGATTGCTTTACAATCCATGGTGTATTATCCCCTTTATTATTCTCTATAATATAGTATTCTTCAATATAAATATATATAATCCAGCTAGCAATGTTGATTTTGTAGGAGAAATTATTGACAAGCATGTTGTTATTTTGTGTTTATGTGAGCTACATACTGTTAGTTTGTGTTTTTGCTGTTGCTGTCCTTCCGACAAGAAACAGGTTTAATTTTCATCTTCATCTTGACGTTTCTCCTCCACAACGTCCAACGTTGTCTTCGGCATTTCTGTAGAAGAGTCGGTTCCTCCTTCCGTTGCCTCAGTTTTACCTGTGGTGGTCTGCCGGTTACTGGCAGTAGTGGTTGTTTCATCGTCCTGACATAGTTCAGGCGGAGGAGGGTGTACCCTGTTCTCCTCCACGTCGGTCAAAGTTGCCGTGGGTATCTCTGTAGTAGACCCTGTCTCAGCTGCCGTCACCTCGGTTCCGCCTGCGGTGGTCTGCTGGTTACTGGTAGTGGCGGTTTCTTCATTGTCCTGGCGAGGTTTAGTCAGAGGAAGGCGTGCCTTGCAATTGTTTTCCTCCACATCGGTCAAAGTTACCGTGGGTATTTCTGTAGCAGACCCTGTCTCAGCTGCCGTCACCTCGGTTCCGCTTGTGGTGGTCTGTCGGTTACTGACAGTGGCGGTTGTTTCATTATCCTGACGAGGTTTAGTCAGAGGAAGGAGTGCCTTGTTCTCCTCCACATCGGTCAGAGTTGCTGTGGGTATCTCTGTAGCAGACCCTGCCGTCGCTTGAGTTCCCCTTGTAGCGGTCTGCTGGGTGCCAACAGTGGCGGTCGCCCCATTGTCCTGTTGAGGGTCACCTAGATCGAAGCATGCCCTGTTCTCCTCCACATGGGTCAAAGTTGCCCTGGGTATCTCTGTAGCAGACCCTATCGTCGCATCAGTTCCCCTTGTAGCGGTCTGCTGGTTGCTAAGAGTGGCGGTTGCACCATTGTCCTGTTGAGGGTCACCCAGACCGAAGGGTGCCCTGTTTTCCCCCACATCGGCCAAATTTGCAGTGGGTATCTCTGTAGCAGACCCTATCGTTGCCTCAGTTCCCCTTCTAGCTGTCTGCTTGGTGCCAACAGTGGCGGTTGCACCATTGTCCTGTTGAGGCTCACCCAGACCTAAGCGTGCCCTGATGGCAGACTTCCATTTCTCCAACACATCCCCCGTCATAGTCATCGTCACTGTCATCAGAAGGCCCTGAGAAGCATTCAGAACGATGAAGATGTACTCCACAACTCTGCTGTTGACGTACGGGTAGATGAAGCCTAGAATCCAGGTCAACCCCATCAGGAAAGAGATACGCAAGTAGACCCAGGCCTTGCTGCTCTGTGAGCGCGACATAGCCGCGTTGGCTATCTCAAATGACTTCCGTATGGCCACTAAGGCAGACGTGACCAAGACTACATTGACCAGAAGAGCACAGAAGACAGGGACTCCAAACGCTACCAGACTGCCCATCGGATTGCCGATCCAACAGCTCTCTCCGTACCCCACCCTCACAGAGCTACCGAATTCCACAATCACTGTGACAACGACTACCAGCACCGGAACCAGCCAGGTGTACAAGACGTACTTGTACAATTTCGCTCTGTCTAAGTCGTCACGAAAGGTAAGAAAGAGATCCATGGATAGCGCGTTCATGGATGTGAAGGCCGTCAGCAGAAGGTAATGCAGAAGAATTGCAAACACTGTACAGGCCGGTCCGGGAGGGACAAGAACGCGTAGCACAAACATGACTTCAGCAGATGCCATGCATGTTGTCATCTGAACCTTCAGCTTTTCCGGGACTTTCTTCCACTGTCCGGACCTGACAGTGTGAATCACGAAACCCAACACTGCTACGGTAGACACTATCACAAGACCCAACGTCAACCATCCCTGGTTAGCCTCCCAACTGTTGATTGTCTCCCCATTGCGTGAGTGGTTCGAGAAGTGCTGCAATACACACTCCCCACAGATTGAAGCTGTTGTGTTCATAATGACCACTTCCTCAGCCGGGCAGGTCAAGTTAGAACTCAACAGGTGGACACTACCATTGGGGAGGACCTGGAACTCTTCGGACGTGAAAGTCAAAGCGGGTTTGCTGCAGTTCTGTAAGGGAATGGTTTCGTTGTTTGGGCCATGAGTTCTAGCGGACGAAGATTGCCGGCAGGTGTCTACAAAGGGGTCGTATACAGTGTCGGAGGGACACGGATTGTTTCCAACACTCTCACCGGCATTAAAGTTGAATAAACGAGTTAGTGAGATTTCATGAGGACAAGTACCAGTTTGAAAGCAATGATCTTTTTGGTCCTCTCTCCTCCCCTTCAAAACAGTGGAAGCACACCTTAAATGTGTGATTGCTGTAAAAGAAAGCCCTTCACACAGAGCACAGTGTAGGTTTCTGTATGTCTTGTGCCTACTGGCAAATGGGTATGTGTAGGACCTGCAGGCGGTTATATCACAATTTGCATTTGAATAATCTTCGTCAGGGAAACGGCAAGACCTCTCCTGGTCTCGAAACTCGAATTCGTCGGAAAGTTGGAATTCTAGCTTGCCTGTACCTAGGCAACCTTCCACCTTTTCATATTCAACGCCAAGAGTACTGAGAATGGTGCTGTACTCTTGTGTAGGGGTTTGTGCAGAAGAATTAAGCTGTCCAGAACACATAAGTCTGGACGTAAAAATAGACACTTCTGTCATTGTTACATTGTTGCAAAGAGCACAGAATATGTTTCTATACGGGGTTTCACGTGAATCATCTTTGACAGGCATTCTGTAAATCAGGTCACTGGGGAGGAAGGGGTCTACTTGTTTTAAACACTGATCCCTTGTGACATCGTCCGTCCATTGGTCAGGGCAGTTAGCAACCAACCAATAGGAAGGCTTGTCGATGAAGCCAGCCACACACTGCCACAGATGGTAATCGTCAGTGATTGGTCGAGTGAAGCTGTCTTCTCTGTGATGGGTGTAATGAAGTCATGATAAGCCACACGATTCTAGTTGACGTAAACTATAGTCTATAATGCAATGCAAGTACTTATGAAATTACACATAAATCATATTTCCCAATTGTTTATTTCTCATTACTTACGCGACGTCTTCACAGCATTCTCTGAAAAAGCTGCATTCGTCGTCACAAGAACAAAGCTTCTCTCGTATCTGCTTGCTACAGGTGTATCCTCCCTTGCACTCTTGTCCGACGAAGTCCAAGGATGTAGGGTCTAATGTAATTCAGGGAAAAGGTTTCAATGCTTTGCTCTAATTTTACTTAAAGCTTTTGTATGGAAAAACTGACGAAAATGGCAGTCTACAATTTTAGATGTAAGAAGACTACAATGTATTCTTACATCTGAAATTATAGAGTGGCAGAATCATGGCAGAACTCTACAATTTTAGATGTAAGAAGACTACAATGTATTCTTACATCTGAAATTGTAGAGTGGCAGAATCATGGCAGAACTCTACAATTTTAGATGTAAGAAGACTACAATGTATTCTTACATCTGAAATTGTAGAGTGACAGAATCATGGCAGAACTCTACAATTTCAGATGTAAGAAGACTACAATGTATTCTTACATCTGAAATTGTAGAATTCTGCCATGATAGAAAATATAATTGTAAATGAACAGAGCACATTGTCTTGATCATGAATTATTATAGATGCTTAGAAATGCAACATGAATGCCAAAACGTCATGAAGTTAAGGCAAATACTTTATGAAAAACTTAAACTGTTCTCCAACTCAAAATTTGACTCACCAGAAATTTTCGACTGAATCACTCAGTCTTCCTCAGCTATCTGACCCAAATGCTGTGGACACGTGATTTTTCCCACAAAAAATGTCCACAGCATTTGGGTCAGATAGCTGAGTAAGACTGAGTGATTCAGTCGAAAATTTCTGGTGAGTCAAATTTTGAGTTGGAGAACAGTTTAAGCTTTTCATAATGTAATTTACCAACTCAGATGAACTTTCATGCTGAATTAAGGCAAATACATGGTAGTTTTCTTCAGCTGTGCTTACCGGCACATTCCATCACGCTGCAGAAGTCCCACCTCAGTGTCGGGTCCGTGGTGTAGCACCAGGGCCGGGCCTTGTTGTCAGGGTTACGGCAGAAGTTTTCCTCCAGCCCCGCATCAGGATGAGCCTGTGGTGTGTGGGGATGGCTGTGGGGCGACTGGGAGTCCCATCTCTGACATAGCCGGCCTCCTGCCCTGTACAAAGAATAACACTGTCACTAAATGTCATGAAGGCCATCTGTGTTGGTAGTAATCATAATGAAATGTTGAAGTTTATATCAGCACAAGGAGTATCACAGAGATCAAATTTTCAACGACCACTGTCGCATTCATTAGGATAATGATTGACCAATCACTTCAAAACGTAATCTCGCGAGAGTTACGGTTACAGACACGTGTCCTTATTCAAACGAGACTTTACGGATACGTGATGTGAACAATTGATCAAAAGTGCCAGGAAGTTTATATCGTCCACCGTCTCTGTTAAGTGATGGCTGGAGTGCTCTGATGTATATGGCCTCCTTATTGCCTCTTAAAAAGTAGTCCTGTTCAATGTCCAGTATTCTAACTTTGACCAACATTTCCCGAGGCTGAAACTTGTAGTCAAGGGAAAACAGTGTACCATAGAGAGACACAGGTCAGACATGCGTCTAATCTTACCTATTTACGTGCCCTGCGTAGCTTCTTCCCTTGTCAACTGTGTAGAAGCAACGTGTTGGTAAGGCTGCAAATATAAGACAGAATAGGATGGTTTAATGAGACGTGGAACTTGAGTTTTTAAGCTTTGTGTCACGCCGGCCAGCCCTTATACAAGTAACGTTACAGTTTATAGGAGGCATGTATGTTGCTGTCAATTACTATGGAAGAAAGAAAGACATGATGAAACCCAACAGCAGTTACCATGGTGACAGACGTCTGATCCTGGTCGTTGACCTTATTTCGTTAGGTCGTTGAGAGGAAGAAGAAGAAACACCCAAAACAATATGTTTTCCTTCTGTATCTGTATCTGTATAGCCGGTATAACCGCTTTTCGGCGTAACACACCAGCTTCTGCGAAGGTAAACATAACTATACCGTCGCAGGCGAAGACATCGTCGCAGTACCTCCACCTGATGAGCGGGTTCTTGGTGTAGCACCACGGCCCGTCCTTCCCGTCCGGGTTCCTACAGTAGTTCCACTCCAGCCCTGCTGACGGGTAGGCCTCGGGAGTGTGGTTATGGGCGTGGGGGTACTGAGATGTCCAGAACTGACAGGAGTAGTCTCGGTTTGCACGGCCCCTGTAGCTTGCCCCTTTGTCCTGTAGGTAGTAACAGTCTGTGGGCAGATAACGTTACATTGTAAACGTTGTGCATAAAAAATGGCATTTCAGAGGTTTGAATTTTCAGCCGCTGCACGCATGTTAGTACTATTATAGTATATGTCATAGCCACATAAAGCCTAGGTTAGCTCGATTGTTGTGTTATCCGTTCCAACATGCATTTTAACATTAACCAAATTGACGCTAACCACAGTGCACGAGGCAGCCAAAGTAGGCTCAGTTACCAGCCTATTTCTTTTTGAAAAGATTTGGAGGGGAAATTTTTCGCTACCAAATGACGGTCTCTTTTGCGAAGCTACTGTTAGTTACTAGTATCTGTTAAAAAGAGTAACGTGCTCTCGCCCGGTGACTGCAATGTTGTAAGGGGTCACGTAGACTTTGTTGTGTCTGTTTTTCGTGGTCGATGTGTTAGTAATTGTCATGTGTGTGGAGAACTCACCACAGTTCTGTTCATCACTGTTGTCTCCACAGTCATCTCTGCCGTTACATCGTGTAGCCGGGTGGAACAGGGCACCATTGTCACAGACAGCAGGAACTGAGGGATAGAAGGGGCATTGTCAAGCTCTAATCAGAAAATTATTTCCACTCCCCCACCCCCAAAGTAAGCCTTCCTGTGCATATATCCTATGGCATTTTCTTGACGTATACATCCGGTAAGACTGGTATGAAAGTGATCTGTAGGCCTGGAAGTCTGTGTCGCCCCCCGTCTTAGGTGTGTCATTTGCATAACGTGACGTCACGGAAGCGGTGGATTGATTGTTAGTCCTTGACAAAGACTGGAGTTACACAGTCGAACATTTGGTTGGCAATTACAGCTTAAACTGCTTGATAATGACTTTTACCAACACAGATGAACTTTCGTAGAGTGGTACGCGACGATCGCAGCGCCTTGTCGTAACGCAGCTCTGCATCTCGCCCTGTTTTCGCGTGCAATCACCCGCGATTTGGTGATGGCTTACATGAAACCTACGCCAGAATAACAGTACTTACCAGTTCTGCGATACGACCAATTACGAAGGCCCACGACGACACTTCTATACACCTCTTCCACAGCCGCTGTGGAAGGGCTGTGCAAGAGCGCTATGGAAGTGTCGTTGTGGGCCTTCGTAAAAAAATGTTGTCAGTGTACTTACCACAAGACTCATCGCTGCCGTCGCTACAATCTTCTATCCCGTCACATCTGGAATAGCGCCGTGTATGGTCACCGCAGGGAACACGTGCTTCACTATCGGTACCGTTACATTCCTTCTGCAAATCCAGGCATTGTCCATTGTCGCAGGCCATCTTGTTTTCTCTCTCGCCTGCGTCAAACACAAGTAGAAACACTAGAAATGTAACATTTGCAAGCAAATTGATAATGTTTATCTTCTCATATGGTCTTCTCTGTTAATTCTTACTCAAACAGATTCATATAACATATGGTGACAGGAGTGTAAATCCCTCCTTCTATAAAATTGCAACATGATGTAATCCAACACTAGTAACCATGGTGACAGACATCTGGTTCAGGTCATTGACCTTATTGGTAAGAAGAAGAGGAAACAGAGCAAAAACAATATGTTTTCCTTTGGTAAACATAACTACACGGGGCCCGCCATATACATATAAATGCTGAATTAATGAAAGCCAAACCCAGGAAATTGTTAGATTATACGTCAATAAAACAACTAGGGATGGAAGTTGAGAAAATTGCAAAGAAAAGAAGATAAAAGATGCAATATACACGTATGTCCTCTGTGCCCATACTTACAGCAGTGCTGTTCGTCTGTGTTGTCTCCACAGTCGTCTGTACCATCGCACACCTGTGTCTTGTTGATGGCGGCCCCATTCGGACAAATTTCTTTATCTATATTCAAAAAGACCACATAAAAAGGAATGAAATACATCACTACATCAAAGTAAAAGAAAGTACAATAAATCAGAGCCTTGTCTTGTATCCTCTCTGCATGTTTATCAGCAATCCATGTTCCGGCATGGCAACAGACATCTTTGACCATTTTCAGCATGCTGACGACCACTGTCAGAGAGCAACGAAATATTTTTGGGCGACGCCTCTGGGGCGGAGGCATTTGTGTAAGGCAAAGAAAAATCAGGCAAACATTGATGCTCGCGCTGATGTCATCCATAAACATTACATGGTGTGTCCTTACCACAGTTTTGTTCATCGCTCCCGTCGTCACAGTCCACTATTCCGTCACACACCACCTCATGCACGTCACAGTCCCCGTCTGTACAGACTGTCTTCTCAAACCCGGAACAAGCTGGAAGAACAAAAGAACATAAAGCAGTGATATGCTAGCCTCTACCAGGCTTCGGGAGGCGGCTGGAAAGAGCAGAAATAGAGAGATAACATGCCAATAGAGAGACAATATTGGTCGTGTAAAAGAAAATCCCTATATCCTAGGGCCCAGTTTAGTTTTTTTTTTTTCACTCTGGCATTATACATGGGATGTCCATAGGATGTTTTGATATAATATTTGTAGTTACCTTGAAAAAACTTCACTTCAATGACTTCGAAAGTTTGCGGAAAGGTAAATTGTAGTTGCCAAATCTGTCCTGTAGCTAGGAACCCGCTAAGATCAACTTCATTCAGACGTACTTCTCCCCCTGTTTCTTCAACTTGTTCTCGGTTGTCTATGTTCACGGCTTCTAAGTCTTCAACTTCTTCTGTTTCTAGTCCAGGAAGGTCTGAAGCAAGGAAATGTTTCACAGCCTCAAACCGTTGGCCCAACGACATAGCACGTAAGACTGTTACGTCTCGTTTGTGGTAATACCACATGCGGATGCGGGAGAGTGTTGTGGGCGCCTGCAGGTCAAATGTGAGTCGCCAGGTGTGCTCTTGAGCCGCGCGCATCCAGCCGGTTCTCAGGTTGGAGTCCAGGACGTAGCCGGCAAGATGGCGGACGCCGTCTTCGCTCGTCCATTCGTCTGGTGTCACCCTGGTAGGGTCAGTCTCTACCCAACCACCTGCAACTAACAGCCTTTCTTTAATGGAAATGTTTGGAGGCTAAAAAAAAGATAGGTAATAAGAAAAATGCACAATACTTATAATTTTGCACCCACACAAATGAAGCATATTGTTCACACAAAAAAAACATTTTAAAGGCACCCAGTGCAGTTTTTAGGGCTTGGAAACCCGATTTTCAAAGCCAATATTCTAGACATTTGTATACATACTAAGTTGAAACCACACTATCCCAGTGTATATTGACCCCCAGGGAGCAAAAATTCCCAAAATTCTGACGGAAAATTGTTACACGAAAGGCCCAGGGCTGATTTTTAGGGTGCCACCCAGAAAATAAATGGCTAATCTTGGGGCTTGTTTCTGCAGTTTTAAATGCCTAAAGTATGAAATGCTGACTCAAAATGTGCTATTCTGAGATAGTATGTGACAGAAAGATTGCCTTATTCAGAATATTTCCAGTTTTGCTGCCCCTGAAATTGCATTGGATGGATTTAATGTGAATATTTGGAGGCCAAAACAAAGATAGGTAATATTTAGAAAAATGCACAATACGCTTCATTTTGCACCCACACAAAATGAAGCCTATTGTTTACCAAAAACAACATTTTAAGCATACCTTGCTTTACGAACAGGTGTGCATACGTAGTACCAATTCCTCAAAATGCGTGACAATGCTAGGGCCTCATAAAATCTTAATTGCTACTTTCTTTTTACTGTTCTCTTGTCAAGAAATTCAGCCAAAACGTATCACTTTTAATGAAAGGTACTAGCAATTTTGTTGTACACGATAGTTATCCAAATAGTTGATCTAAAGACAAATCGACTTTAATAAAGAAAACATATTCAGATGCATTGCTAAGGTTACAAATGATCTCGGGTGGCCAAAGTAGCAAAACAGATTTCGAGTGGGACTAAATATATGTAAAGGCATGTGCTTCATGTTGTGTAGTACGGGGCTATATAGCTGCATGTGCCTAACACTTGCAAACAAATAACGGCTTGGGTGAGGCTTACAGTGTGGTCTGTATCTGTATCTGTATAGCCGGTATAACCGCCTTTCGGCGTAACACACCAGCTACCTTGAACTTCTAGCTCTAGACTTTGTTTAGCTATCTATTGACAATGCCCCTACTGTACATGGTGACAGTGAGTTCCACTCTCGCGATAGTTCTAGGAAAGAATGAATTCTTGAACACCTCAATCCTTGGTTGATAACTCTGGTACTTGAAGGCATGGCTATTTCTTGTTCTCTTCTGGGCTGGTATTACTAGTTGGGACATCCACCAGTTTATTAGTCATTTTGTACATCATGCACAGTCTGTACATCTTTCTACTGTCTTCCAGTGAGGCCCACTGTAGGTTTCTTTTCATTTCCGTGACACTAGCACCTCTTTCATAGTTGTTCATACAGAATCTTGCAGCTTGATTCTGTACCCTTTCCAATTTGTCTTTGTCTTTCTTTGTATATGGATCCCATACTGTCGCAGCATATTCTAGGTTCGGTCTTACAAGTGACGTGTATGCAAGTGATTTTACTCTAGTTGGACATGCCCACAGATTACATATACATAACTGTATATGCCTTATAATAATACTAATTGCAGCAAAATGACGACTCTGGAACAAAGATAACTAGTTGCTTACCTGTCAGTGCAAATGCAGCTGGCAGACAGTGGAATAGACTCCACAGTAGCACCATAGATGTTCCGGTGGGCGACAGGTTTTCCATTCTGTTGGAGGATAGCTGGCCACACATTGTACAATCATCCAGCTGTCCCACACGCTGTACTGTTGTACAGCTGTCCCACACGCTGTACTGTCGTACAGCTGTCCCACACGCTATACTATTGTACAGCTGCCCCACACGCTGTACTGTCGTACAGCTATCCCACACGTCGTACTGCTGTACAGCTATCCCACACGCCGTACTGTCGTACAGCTGCCCCACACGTTGTACTGTCGTACAGCTGCCCCACAAGTTGTACTGTCGTACAGCTGTCCCACGCGCTGTATGGTTGACAGTTACCCCACACTATGTACTGTCGTACAGCTGCCCCACACGTTGTACTGTCGTACAGCTGCGCCACACGTTGTACTGTCGTACAGCTGCCTCACATACTGTACTGTTGTACAGCTGCCTCACATGCTGTACTGTTGTACAGCTGTCCCACACGCCGTACTGTTGTACAGCTGCACCACAGGCTGAACTGTTGTACACCGACAGAGGTTTTTGTCGGCCCCAAATCAGCTTAGCGTGCGCTGCCGAATGCTGATAAAATCGTAGCCTCCGTAACAGGCTCCTAGGTGGTTGTTTTAGATTACCAGTTTTGCTGATTAAGCCACTTTCGAGAACATTCGCTGGACGCTTCAGGCGAGGCTAGGCAGTGTTTCCTGTGGTATTTTTATTTGCAGTTTTATGTGTGTCTCGTGGTAACCACCTGGTGTATACTTCATAAAATATTTGTTATTGTTCTTCTTGCCCTGTCTGTCGCAAATTTATCATTTTATTTATATTGCTCATATGTCAACCAAAATCTGGTTTAGCTACCAGTTTGGCTACCAAAAATCATATAGTAAGCTTAACGATACATCTGAAGGTGTTAACCTTTATTACACGAATTGTCCTGAAACTTAGTAGGTGGGTAGGTCTTGATGAGACCTAGAAACGATCAGATTTTGCGGCATTTCTTGGTACTGCAGCAGATTACATTCGGTTGATATCTTCTGATCTATTCTACGCATTTCCAGTTCTGGTCAGATTTTGCCAGTTTTCTGTCAGTTAGATCAGACGTGTGTTGACTTTTCAAATCTAGACAGAACTTTTAACCTTAGTGCTGTAGTGGTGTTATGTTACATCTATTGAGAAAACGTCACACCCTTCAGCCAGGGGTAACTTCGGGGAGCATTTAACTTGGGTAACGGATAAGAATGTGTAAGAATGCGGGAGGGTGGGTAAGAATGTGTAAGGATGGGACAGGATGGGTAAGGATAGGGGAGAAGTAGTAGGAATGTGTGAGGATGTGCGAGAATAGGTAGGGGTGTATACGTGTGGGTAACCAGTACACAATGTTTTGTATGGTACTACCTCATTTGCATACTCGGGACAACTTAAATGAAGCCGTTACCTCAACTGGTCCCTAAAATGTAAATTAGAAGTTGTTTACGACTGATGTCAGTGATGAGATGAAGCTCTTAAAACATCGGAGTCGAAGTGGGTTTTCCCACAAACGGCATGTAGCCATGTTTTAAGCTATACAGTGGAGTGGAGCTTTCGGAGATTGAAATTCGTGGTAAGTGTATTTTTGAAGCCTCGAATATGTCTGTTTGTGTACAGAAAGCTATTGAGGTTTATTGAGGTTTACAGAAAGCTAGAATTCTGACTGGGGAGGGGAGCGAACCAACTATTATATAGTGATGAACGTGCTAGAACCATAAAAATCGCAGGTTGGGCTGAACGACTATTATTACCCTCCATGAAAATGGGGGTACTGTTTTTACTCCGTTTCATGTTTGGTCTGATATCTGAAGATCGGTGAGAAGGAACTGTACGATATTTGGCAGATTGATGGATGGGGCCTTGGAGATTGTGTAGGTTGACTTTGAGCCCCTGGTGATTGACCTTGGTACTGCAGTTTAATTTTTTTATTCTGTTGTTTTCGCGTTATGGACTGTTTGTGCGATATTAAGGTAGCATGTAGTTGTTATTACCATGGTTTAGTGGTTTAAATTTGGGTCCCCTAGCTGTTTGCGTTTGATATTTACAAAATGTTTAATGTTGGACTTTTTGTGTTGAATGTTTGGAAAATCTGGGGGATGGTTTGGTATGATTTTTGGTATGTGGGTAGTTGTTGAGTCTCTTTGTGTTTTGGAGTGCATTAGCAGGTTGTCGCATATTTTCATTGCTTAATTTAAAAGGATTTTCACTTTTTCACCCCTACTTCATAATAGGATGGTCTGTTTGACCCAAAAGTTGGGACAGAGTGTTTTTGTTTATACCCCCAGCTGGCAGGTCAGACCCAGGCAGCCCTATCTATTTTTACCCCTAGACAGAGTGTGCAGGAAAATAAATCTTGTTTGTCTGGTCTGCAGGTCATTGACCTACATGTACAGGCAAATGTAGCCTGGGTACCATCCCCAGTAGTATATTCGCAAACTCTATAACAGTTATAGAGTTTGCGAATATACTACTATTTCATGGAGGGATGATGTCTACGACTTCTCCTTGTTAAAGAACTTTTATTCATATATTAATATTTTGGTCAGCCGAGGAGGTCTTGTTTTCATTATCTTTGGTTGGTTAGTTGGTTGGTTGGTTGGTTGGTTGGTTGGTTGGTTGGTTGGTTAATTGGTTGGTTGGTTGGTTGGTTGGTTAATTGGTTGGTTGAGTGGTCGGTTAGTTGGTTGGTTGGTTGGTTGGTTGGTTGGTTAATTGGTTGGTGTGTTGGTTGTTTGTTTTGTTGGTTGGTTGGTTGGTTGGTTAGTTGGTTGATTGTTTGTTTGTTTGTTTATTTCGATCCCCATTAGTGCTTAAAAGCACTATTCTTCCTGGGGTCAATAAAATGAAACATAGATAACAAAACTTGTACATAATGATGATTACAAAATAATACAGTAAGTTCAAAATCAATAGGAGAGGTCAGAGGTCGACCTAAAAAAGCACAAAATAATCTGAACATAACCCAGCGTTGTACGTAAACAACAAAGGTGCCCACAAAATTAACAAAGGTATAAATAACGTAAATAACTAAATAGAACATAATGTCCGACTGATCACTGATTGGTTATTAATAAATTTAATAAAATTATTAATAAATGAATGAAGCACATGTACTAAACAGCAACCAAAGACACAATACAAGCATTTCCAAATTTATTTTGATTGACCATGCACAAAACCTCTGTATGTCATTTCAAAACCTTTCAAAAAACTCCTTTCAAAAGTTTAAAGGACATCAATATATAATGATATTTTAAGAATTCTGCATTCGTTTTGGAAATGTCCTTACCAATAAAAGGAAAACACTTGGCTACACTAAATAGTAAAGCATTGGAAATTGGCTTAGTCTTAAAGAGAAATAGATAAGCTGGTATGATACATGTATTTTTATCTTACAGAATCAGTAATGAAATACTGATATGAAAATGTTCTGTGCCATCTTAGATAGCTTGCTGTCTGCAACAAGACTAACTTGAATAAATAACGTATAACTTAGTATGTGTATAATATGGTGTCATTCTATGCTACACTTTTGCTCTTTTGCACTTGTGCTCTTTTTCTGCTTCTGTTTTCTCTTTCTGGTTAGGCCACACCAAGTAAATTTTATGGATGACATCTGCTCGCGCATTGAATTTGGCCTGTTCCTAAAAAAAAACCAAGAAACTCCGCTTCCTATAACTACGTATGACCAAAGAGTCACGACAGTGCCGCAAATCGTCAGATTGACGTGAAACCCGTAACGCCGAAAGAAAGTGTCTATTGACAGGACCATCCTGCCAATAACAGAAAACAGGACAGGACGACAACTGCTGTACCACCTGATTTATTGCTATTTTGATGATGAATAAAAGACTTCTTGCTTGTTACACTCATTCAATTTGTGTTCTAACATTTGTCGACCCTTAGGATATTTCTAGGCATCTTGTTTTTTAGGGCCCTTCTTGGGTTTTTTTCGCCCTCTCGCATTAGATTTAGGGTCTCCAAAGGACGTCATCCATAAAATGTACTTGGAGTGGCCTTATCTGGTACATCTTCTGGTAATGTGACCAGATAAACTTAAGAGAAATATTTACATACAGAGCCAGGAATTTCTGAAATACAAAACAATAAATCAGAGTCTTGTCTCCTCTCGTCATATTTATCTGCCATCCCCTTTCTGACATAGCGACAGACATCTTCGCCCATATTCGGCATGTTGACCATTGTCAGAGGGCAACAAAATTTCTTTTTTTTTTAATCAGGCGAAAATAAAATTAATGCGCGCGCTGATGTCATCCATAAAAATGACTTGCTGTGGCTTAACGAATAAACACATGTCGTGTTTCTAAAAAAACAAACGATTTTGTGCTATTTCTTTACTTTACATTTGTTGTGGGGATTTCCGAACAATTTGTTTGGTTTCCTACTGCCGAGACCTTGTATTAATTAGACAGCTATGCGATACAGAATCTGACTGCCCAGTGCAGCGGCTGTCACCCAGATCATAGCCTGGTCCTGGGGTCCACAGCTTGCTTCATAGAGCCCTACAACAAAAAGAAACAAGACTGGCAATAAAAACATACATTGCCATGGCGACGGTGGTTCATGTTAGGGTTATTGTTTGCATGGCACTGCCATCATTTCATGATTTTGAGGAAGCCTTGGTACCTGTTAAGTCTAGACAGATACAGTGCGCTGCTCCCCTGAGTGTATAGTGAACGAGCTCCGGGGTCACAGAAAGTAGGGACACCCGGGGCAGAGAGGTCTTCCCATGGGTTTCCAAGAATGTGGGCATAGATGTGGGTCAGAGACATGCCTGTGGACATTCCATTCCTGTGGACAAAATGCCTGTACTATTCCTAGAATTCTTGCAAACTGCACACAACACTGTACCATTAGGCTCCTCCCTGAGACGTCGCCAAAAAAGAAAAGAAATATGAATAACAACAGCACAAAGTATACTCCAAATGGTTCCGTTCGAAATTCAATGCATTCAAAATTCGACAGTCAAAAGAGATATCACGCTACCAATCTAATGGAATTTTTAGATAGATAGCGTTAGTGAAATTAAGTGATCACAAGAGTTAATACATTGTACATATTTGTACATCGGGATTTTAAAAAAGTTTAACTATAACTAGGGACAACATCAGGGTATGATATCTGCCAGCCATTTCCATTGTGCTGTCCATAGTTTATTTCGTCTGTTTCAAATTTCTTTGATAAATATCATATTTAATTTAGTATGTAAAACAGGGAAAGCCAATTCATTCGTTAGGCCACACCAATTTAATTTCTTGGTTAACGGATTTTTCTATAAAAATAACGGAGCGGGCGGGCGAAAAAAAAATAAAATAAAAACAGGCCTAGGCATCCTATTATGGCCCCAAATGGTACGACAGGAGCCATGAAGTCAACACACCAGGCTGGTTAAAAATTTAAACAATGAATTTTGAACTTTTAATGATACTACTGCATTGAAAGATGGAATGACTGTTACAAGTAGTAAGAAAATGACTGTTTTCAACTGTTCAGGGCAAAATATGAGCATTTTGCAGTTGATTCTGAATTTTTATTTTTATTTGCAAATCAGAAAAAAATGAAGCGGCGAATCCGTTAACCAAGAAATTAAATTGGTGTGGCCTTAGAATGACAAAACAAATTAAAGTAGATATTGGACGAGTGTTCAAAGTAGAAATAAACAGTACTGAAATCTTGATTCTTGAAGGGAAGCATTTTGTTCGTTTTATTTTAGTTCATTACTAAGTAACGACTGTTTAAAACCTCTATCATATTGGGGAAATTTCGTAAGTTCTTAGGCTCCTATGATAGATATCGCAAGGAAAATGATTGAGTTTAGAACCTGTTTGGTCTTGGATCGCTCCTTGGTGAGCAATTGTCGTTTCTGCGGTCGGCTCGATGCTCGGCGTGGTGGCGGCTTGAGTAGGCATGCCGTCCGGCGGGTTACCGCCGCATCCCCGCTCGTCCTCCCCTACCGCACAGTCCGGGTATCCGTCACAGATCAGATGACCGTGCACGCAGTACAGGTCCGCAGAGCCGGGCAGGCTGCAGTAGAACGTCCCGCAGTCTGGAAGGTTGCTGCCTTTGTAAGAAACAGGAGGAGACAGTAAAAACCCTTCTGGTCCCGGGCCGGGGTTCGAACCCACGACCTCCCGGGCACCAGAGCTTCATAATCAGACGCTCTAACCACTCCGCTAAAAGGTCTAGACCCGTTTGCCGGATCAGTTGGTAATAAGCACCTATAAACCCCCACTGTTACACTACTCCCCCTTTTCTT